TTTGGGGATCTTTGGCAGTTTGTGAAGTGGCATTTGGGGAGTTTGGGCGTTTGTCGGATGGGATTTGGGGACAACTGGGGGTCCTACAGAGGGGAGCAAAGACTGGGGGTCCTGCAGAGGGATCTGAGGAGCTGGAGGTGTCAAGGGGACCAAAAATTTGGGGTCCCACAGAGGGGACAAAGATTGGGGGTCCCAAAGAGGAGAGCAGAAATTGGGGGTCCCGCAGAGGGGTGTGACATTCCCCCCTCCAGGAGGTCCCTGCCCTCCTTGGCTGCTCCCCGCGGGTGCTGGGATGTCCCCAGGGGAGCCCGAGATGTCCCCAGGGGAGCCCGAGATGTCCCCGGGTGTGCCAGGATGTCCCCGGGGGTTCCAAATGTCCCCGCAGGGTTTTGGGATGTCCCCAGGGGTGCTAGGATGTCCCCAGAGGGTACCGAGATGTCCCTGGGGTTGCCTGGATGTCCCCAGAGGGTGCCCGAGATGTCCCCACAGGTGCCCGGGATGTCCCCGGGGGTACCGAGATGTCCCCGCGGGGTTCCGGGGATGTCCCCGCGGGTGCTCGGCATGTCGCCGGGAGGTTCTGGAAAGTCTCCGGGATGTCCCCAGGGGTGTCCAGGTTGTCCCCAGGAGTGCCCGGGATGTCCCCAGGGGTGCCCGGGATATCCACTGAGGGTACCGAGATGTCCCCACGTGTTCCGGGACGCCCCCGGGAGGTTCCGGGATGTCCCCGGGATGTCCCCGCGGTTTGCCCGGGATGTCCCCGCGATGTCCCCGCCGTGTCCCCGTCCCTGCTGGCCCCGAGCCCCCCCGTCCCCCCCGGGGGTCGCGCATTAACCGCTGTTGTTTTCCCTCCCTGCCCGCTCTGCTGCTTGCAGGGACAAACTGTGAGTGACCGCAGGGACCGCCCCTCGCCCCAGGCTTTGCTCCCCGAAATCCCAGAATTTAGGATTAGCTGCGAGGGAGGGGGGGACATGGAAAGGGGGGGCTGGGACCCCTTTTCCTCTTGGAACCTCAGCTGCTTCCTGTCCCCTCCGCCGTGTCCCCCCAGCTTGGGGACATCCGTGGTGGCTTTGGGGGGGACTTTCAGAGAGACCCCACAAGGAGCTGGGAGCCTCCGAAGGGTTTTTTTTTTGTGGTGGTTTTTTTTTTCCCCAATTTTTGTCCCCTCGCGTTTCCCCGCACGTTTTGGGGTCCCCCGGGTGCTCCTTGGGAATGCAGGTCCATGGAAATGTCACCGTGGCTGTCACCTCCCCCCTGACCCCGCGGTGTCCCCGCCCTGTCCCTGCCGTGTCCCTCGGGGCCGGGTGAGGTTCCAAGCCCAGACCGGGTTGGGAAGCAGCAATCCTAAATTCCTGATGCTTGCTCCCGTGTGCCCTTTTCCCTCTCCCACCCCATTCCCATTTCCCTTTCCCAACCCCATTCCTCCTTTCCCAACCCCATTTCCCCTTTTCCCAATCCCATTTCCCTTTTCCCTCCCCATTTCCTTCCCCAATCCCATTTTTCCAATCCCTTTTCCCAACCCCATTTCCCTTTTCCCAATCCCATTTCCCCTTTTCCCAATCCCATTTCCCATTTCCCTCCCCATTCCCCTTTTCCCAATCCCATTTCCCTTTCCCAACCCCATTCCTCCTTTCCCCAATCCCATTTCCTTTTCCCACCCCATTCCCCTTTTCCCGACCCCATTCCCCTTTCCCCAATCCCATTTCCTTTTCCCTCCCCATTCCCCTTTTCCCAATCCCATTTCCCTTTCCCCAATCCCATTCCTCCTTTTCCCAATCCCATTTCCCTTTTCCCAACCCCATTTCCCATTTTCCCAACCTCATTTCCTTTCCCCATTCCCCTTTCCCCAATCCCATTTCCCTTTCCCAATCCTATTTCCCCTTTCCCAATCCCATTTCCCTTTTCCCTCCCCATTCCCCTTTCCCCAATCCCATTCCCCTTTTCCCAGTCCCATTCCTCCTTTCCCAATCCCATTTCCCTTTCCCTCCCCATTTCCCGCATGTCCCCGTCCCCCTGCCCGGCTTGGCCGCTGCTCTGTGTCCCCTGGCTGGCCTTGTCCCCACCCTCGGGGACAGGGGGGTGGTGGCACCGCCGTGTTTGTGACATTGGAATCTCTCAGTGTCCCCCAGCGCCCTCCCGGTGTCACCCGCAGGGTCCTTTGGGGGTGCACGGTGACATCGATGTCCTGCACGTTTGGGGACAGCAGTGCCACCTCCGTGCCTGTCCCCAACCCCATTCTCAAGGGGGCACAGCCCTGCCATGCTTGGTGTCCCCATGGTGTCCCCAATTCCATCTTGGGGACAAGGCCCCGAATCCATGCTGGCACTGTGAGGGGGGATTCAATGACATCAGTGACATTGGTGTCCTGCACGTTTGGGGACAGCGGTGCCACCTCTGTGCCTGTCCCC